CACCCCACTTCCCCGAGCCTATCTTTTTAATCTTGAGTTTGCACTTGACCTTGACAATCAGCCCCCCTCTCCCATTCCAGAACTTAGTGGCCTTAGAGAATGGGTCCCTACGATGAAGGTCCCTCCTTTGCTCCCATTTCCATCCTAGCTAATGGGCTGGACCTCAGGTGGCAAGAGAGAAAGGAAGAATTATCGTTTTAAAGCAAAAATATGGCTCGAGCACGTTGGAGGTGAGTGAGAGGCACGTCGGCAAGATGAGTGTGCGCGTGTTTGGGGTGGCTGGGGTTTACCGCCCCTTCCCCAAGAAGGAGGCTTCCAGAAGAGGAGGTCTGCTAGGCAGAAAGGGAAGAGTATGAGAAGGTTGAGAGAGGGTTTGGAGTCTGGAGTTTTGTCTTTATTAGAAAGGAGGAGGAAGTCTATCCTGAGTGTTTCAGGAAGAAGAGAGCAGGTAGGGAGGGAATTTAGTGATTCAACACCCAAGGGTCCAGCCAGAACAGGTTGGGAAAGCCCCAAGATTTGGCTGTAGGAGAAGCTGGCCTCAGGAAACAGCTACTTGCTGGGCCACAAGCTGGGTCCCCAGCGGGTTCTTAATGGTCATTGATTTACTTAGTGGAAAGCGGGGAAGTTGCCAGCAACAAACCAGTCTTTGAGTTTGAGGCCCTGGCTCCAGAACATTCATCCATCTCTCAGGTTCCAGGCTGGGTTTTCCCACATCCCTTTGTCCAATCCAGAGCTAGCCTCTCAAATTGCTTGAATCAGAGACCAGTGACCATAATGGGTCATGTAGTTGGGACCCACCACCCCCAAACTGGAACCTTGGGGGTCCAGACACCATCAAGCATATCTGGGAGGAAGACAACTTCGTTTGCTCTTCTGTTGACACCAATTATTCTTAAGTATCTCTAATGATGCCTGTGGTGGTTCGGTTTGCTGAGCCTGCCTCAGTGGTGTGACTTAGAAGATGGGGTGCAATGCACTCATCATGTTTAGTGGCCTGTGACCAAGGCATACTGCTCTTAAGCATTTCAGAGAAAGAAGGGGAAACAGAGCCGCCATTCTTGAATCTACAGCTTGTTCTCTGCAACAGGTTTTCTTTAAATCCAGGACACAGGATGGCAAAAGGGTTTCAGGGCCAGTTTACAGGAGGTCTGCATGAAGGTGACTTCTGAACAAGGCAGATGTTAGTGGCAGGTTCGTGAAGCGTGGGTTTGTGCACTGCATGGTTGCATGTGAACTGCTGGATGCCTCTGGGGCACTCCTCACGGTGTCCACTCAACCCCTCCCAGCTCCTAGTGGGATCTGTTGGGGGGGGGGGGG